GCAAGCAGGCTGTCCCTGATGGGGAAAGGAGGAGGATTAGGGAGCAGGAAGGGTGCAGGACGTGCCGTGCCGTTCTTGCCGGGCCAAGAGGGCGAGTGTTTACAAAGACGGCTCAAAGGCCTGCAGGGCCCCCACTAAGGCTTCTCCCTGGAACGAGCCCTGGCATTTCGTGCGGGCTCCTTTGCGCTCCTGAGGCCGCCAGAGATGATGGCTAAGCTTGCTCTTGCCTTCCGGGGACCGTGGGACTCACTCGGATGAATTGTTATTTGACATCTCTTTGCTTCTGTTTTTATAAAAACTGTACAACATAAAGTGTTTTGAGATCTTCAGATGACACTGGGACAAATATTGCTTTTGGCCTGTATATTTTGAAAATATTTAAGAAAAATAAATTCACAGCATATTAGTCATGAAGCATGATGCTGCCACTGAAGAAGTCAAACTTTTAAGAGAAATTTACAGAAGGGCAGCCATCCATACAAGTGTATCTTATTTTAAAGATTAAATGTGAGACCTTTCAAGTCTATGACTATTCCAACCTCTTCTGTGATCTGTCAGGGATGTGAATGTGTGTAAAATTAGGAAGTATGTCATGTGGGAGGAATCAATCGAATGTTTTACAATTCAGGTGACCCAAAACATAATTATGGAAACTTATCTGTTTTTTAATGTTTGCTTTTTAAAATTTACCATGGCCAAGAGTTCCCACATCATGTGACAGTATCATGCCATAGACTTCTAATGTAAAAGCCACATTTAATCTTTCAGGATTTTGTTTGGTATTTTCTCTTTTTAATCTGCAAAATGACAGGTCGGACTAGAGTATTTACTAAATGCCCACTGGGTAATTCTAATATGCAGCTAGGGTCCAGGACCATTGGCCTAGATGATCTCTAAAGTCCTTCTTTGGCACCAAAATGCTGTGATTTCTATAATTTTACATTTTAAATCAAAGTAAATCAGAAAATCAGATTCACCTCACAGATAATTCTGCCAAAAACATTTTCCTAAACTCAGAGCTCTCAGAAGTCCTAAAACGAAACTTATTTCATTAGCGAGCCAACCCCCGTTAAGTATTTTGGGCAGATCTTATGAATTTGGAAAATTTATGTTTCCTCCACATTTTAATATTCCTAAATGAGTTTTAAATCAACCAAAAGGAATTTATTCTTTTTGAATAATCTTTGACTCTTTGAGAGTCAAGATGTAGTCAAAGTTTTTGAATTCCAGGTAGAAATCAAAAGGATCAAATGAAAATGCTTATGGATAAAGATAGATGAGAAATGAAGATATTGAATCTTTGCTATTAGCTTGGAATGACAACTCCCTGTGCGTGCATGTGTATGTGCGTGCATGCATGTGTGTGTTTGACGACGCTCTGCTGGGATCCACGAGGAGCAGCTGATGTTGGAGGGCGTACCTCACAGAAGCTATAAGGACAGTTGGTGGCAGACTGCAGCCATGGGGCCAGCAGATTACTGATTTCAAGGCAATGTCCACCTAGGAACCCTTCTTATTGAAGACCGTATCCCCAGAACCATCAAGTTTTAAAATGTAGTTAACTGGAGATGGTTTTTATTTTCTTGTTATGAAACCTAGGTGCCCACACTAAGGCCTCACATGACTATATCCTGTGTCTACTCACGAAGAGTATTTATAGCGAGAAGATGCTGAGGTTGACCCCTCTTCATGAATAAGTCAGGAAACAGAAAGACTGTGTTTGGGATTTAGCTCAGAAATACAAGGGAAAGAAGTCACATTACCATCAGAAACATCAATTTCTTAAGATATTTATTTGAAAGTTTTGAGAAAAGTAAAGCTCATGCCCTGGGGCTTCTGGGAGTATGTACAAAATACAATAATTAAATTAAGTCCAGCGGTTAAAATTCCTCATAAAAAGAAAAAGCTGGAGCGCTTCCCAATGGGGAATGCTTGACTTAAAAGAAAGGTTTTACTCTGTGGCCTGAAGGTCAACAAACTGGGACTCTGTGGGAATGTATAAAATTTCTTAAAGAGGTTCTTCAGTCTTTGTTTTGTTAAAAGAAAATAAAAGAGTAAAAAGGGACAAGTTCTGAAAATTCAAAAAATGAAGGTGCAGTCCTAAAATCATCATGATTTTTATAAACGCAGCACCAGAGGCTATGAAAACATGCTCTCTTTTCTGAGGACTAATCTAACACATATGCTCTTTCAGAAGGAAGGAAAAAAGCCAATGGCGCCGTTTGAACAAACCATTTTAAAAAGTGCTCCTTTTCAGGGGAAGTGCATGCAAATTTGTGACCCATTCATTTGCAACTTATTTAGAAGCTAAGCTAACCTTAAAGATTCTCATAAATATATTTCACAATTAAAAATTCCTTAGATGACACAAAGACTGATCGGTTTTTTAAAAGGTTTTTATGAAGCAAAGTTGTAAAACATAATTTTGGGGGTCACATCCTCAGTGATCTAAAATGGAATGCTTTTCATAATATGATAATATCTGTTTTGATAAATAATCATTTGTTGTTACTTTGTGGCAATGTCCCTCCAAAAAGGAATAAGGTTAACAACAGGCTAGGAATCAAATTTTATGTCCTTAAACTTTCTTATTTATCAGCATCATTCTGGCCTCCCATGTGAACTTCAGCTGCATACCCAAATAATTTCGACTGAAACATAAAGATCCAATGACCAATTTGCCAGATCCTCATCGTCTTTATTGCTTAAGTGGAATCTGAATGTTGGCTTTGCATTAAGACAGCATGATCAAATGTAGGACATTAGGAAGAGCAGCTTTGGCAGCAATATTTAATTTACTGAATAATTAGCAGCCTCATTGACATTTCTGCTTGATTCCCAAAGTACAATATTAGCTGTCCTTTGCACTCAGGCTCTCGGCAGTAAAATGGGCTAATAAACTTCCTGTGCCAAGTTCACAGTAAGCGAAGGACGATGGAGTGTCCTGCAAGCAGCTCACAACTTAAGACACTAGATTGACTTCCGAAACGTGAGCACAGAATTAGAAAAAAAAATTACCCAATTTTGTTGTTTTCTTTTCTACATTTGTTAATTTTGCTTTTGGAATTTCGAGGAGAGGAAGGAAGGTAAAATTATAAGAAAAAGGAGAAGGTAAGTGGAAGTAGAATGACAGTAAACCGAGGGACTAGAGAGAATGAAAGATGATACACAGAATGATGCAGGCCACGGAGGATGGGGCCGCAGGAGGAGGCCCAGAGAGCTAACACAGCTGACTACATCCTCTGTCCTTGAGGTTCTTAACCTAACAATAAATAGCCAACATGAGAGGCAGAGAGGCATTCATTCATTCATTCATTCATTTATTTGGTGAGGAAGATTGGTGCTGAGCTAACATCTGTGCCAATCTTCCTTTATTTTGTATGTGGGATGCCACCCACATGGCTTGATGAGCGGTGTGCAGGTCCATGCCCAGGATCTGAACCCGTGAACCCTGGGCTGCTGAAGCAGAGCATGCAAACTTAACCACTACACCACCGAGCCGGCCCCTAGAGAGGCATTTATTTTGAGATCAAAGAAGGGCAATTTGGGAGCACAAATTCAGGCAGAAACCCAAGTAGCATCCCGATTACAGGAGAGGGCCTCAGGGTTTTTATGGGAAAAAGGGAGGAAGATGAGGTTGGGAAGGAAGAGTTCATTGGTGCTAGATGAGAGGAGGCTGGGTTTGTACTTCCTGGATTGGCCTGAGATTCGGTCATCAGGCAAAAGGCTAGACTTGCACTTCGTTAATTGGTTAGCAGTTTGCTCATCAGCAAAGTCCAGTTTCCTCAGTCCTGTCAAACAGGATATTCTGGGCCTTGCTGATTTCTTGGAATGTTGGTGGTTTGGTCAAGTTTGAAAAATAAGACATGCAAGGCAATTCCTCTCAACTGGCTGCTCTGGTTCTGTTTTAATATGGCTCCACTCATGTCATGTTTCACACGGTCTACATCCTGCTCCTTCATCCCTCCAGTGGGCCTCCTTTTCTTAGACACCCAAGACATTCCCCAGCCATTTAGACCAGTCCCCAGTGGACAACTCTGCAAACTGCATGAGGGACTGTTCAGCCTAGGAGGGAATCAGGGCCTATGGGGTCTGGGGGCCAATGAAGACCTACTGCGAGGTGGTATTTGCCTGGTGGTGGCGCTTCCTGGCTGCGATTGATGACTAGTTGTTTGAATTGTGATGAGCTCGAATATCTTTGCCGGGATCAAGCACTCTCTCTGAGGGAGGCAGTTGTGGAAAAAGAGGTTTCAGCTATTTTCTGGTTGTTTCAAAAAACTCATTTGGAGGTTCCTTAGTAGGGAACTTAATGTAAAGCCATAAATCTCAGGAGTTCTTGGATGTGAAGCTGTGTGGTTTAGTGGTTTGAGGCTTTAGTGTAGTCTTAGTATTGCCAGCTGTGTGACCTTGAGCAAGTCCGCGTAAAGGGCCAATATTTGCGCAAGTCTAGGAGGCACGTTAATGTTGTATTTTTTCTATGTGAATGGAGCCCCCTTCAGCCAGGAATCGGTACTGCATAATCCTCCAGAGCTTCAGCGTCTTTATCTACAAAATCAGGGGGTTGGACAAAATAACATGAGTTTGTAGTCTGAACAGCTCCATATTGAGAGAAATTTCCATAGTCGAAGTATGGGACTAGGAGATTCCAAACATCAGCAGAGCCACAGAGCTCTCCTGGGATGCAAGTGGCCGTTGGAGTGGCTGCCACACCCTGCGCGTCCAGGGATTGGCCTCGCCGATGTTTCCCTGTGAGAACATATCCTGCGCCTACCAATAGAAGTCAATAAGAAAATGGGGTTCGCCTCATAGAAACTCACCTTCCAGCCAGTTTCGCTGCAGTGGGAGTCCCCTCCCGGACTGCGGAGCGGTGAGCACCTGGATGGAAATCATTTGGCTGTTACTGAATGCCTGCTCTTCACCAAGCATGATGCTAGGTGCTTTTAAATAGTACTGTATTTGTTAGTTTTTATTTGTCATTATTTGATATTCATTCTTTTTTGAAAGATTATTTTTAAAAATTGTGGTAAAATATATGTAACATAAAATTCCCTGGCATGCAGGCTGCTGAGGGAAGGTGCGGTCTTGGGCAAGGTGGTTGTCTGCAGCTGAGGATGCGGAAGGAGGAGCTGACAGCTGGAGGCTGTCTGCTCACCGCACCACCCCAGCCAGGCAAGTGGGGGCATTCTCCAAGGGGGATTTGGGTGGCACATCTGATCTGTGTGCCCACTGCATCCTTGTAGCAACTCTTTGACTTAGGTCTTATGATTCTTATAGTTGGAGAAACTGATGCTCAGAGAGAATAAATGACTTGTCTGAATGTAACGTAACTCATTAATCTCAAATCCAGGATCAGAACCTAAGTGTCTGATGCGGGGAAGACTAGTTCCTAATTCTAATGAACACACATTTAGCAAGCTCTTGCTGGGAGTGAGGGATGAGCAGGGAGGGATCCAGACACGCATGGCAATGTCCAATATTCAGGGCATCCACACTCTCTTGGGGACACACACACATAAGAAGTTCTACAACAGAAATCTGATCCAATGCAACGGAAGGGCTGGGGGAGGGCCAGCAAGCCGTCTCTGGGGAGACCTGGCAGAAGTGGCTTTCAAGTTGCGTCTTGAAGAATGATTAGGAGTTTGTTGGGTTTGACGCAGAGGGAGGGGTCACAGCTTGTGCAAAGGAGTGCCGGGCACTGCAGCCAGGCACGGTCTGGCTGCACGGTGGCCAGGCCCCCTTGAGAGAGGCAATGGGTCACTGGTGTGGAAATGCCGGTGGGGCTCCGGCCGCTGGACTCACTCCTGGCAGCCTGGGAGAAGCGTCATGAGGCTCCCCTGGAAGCTGCTGCGTAATTGCCGTCCCTGGAAGCCCGGTGGAGGAAATGGATGTGCTCTTCTCCTCATTTGGGAATTCGTGTTATTAACACAGTTTTCCAGAGAATCTAAGCCAGAAGTTCACGTTTGTTTTTATTTTCTTCCTTCTGTGGAACTCAAAAGAGCCCATTAAAAAAAAATTAAGCCAGATGCCTAAAGTATATAGTCTTCTGAAGAACCTCTCCACCACAAAGCTATCTGAAATGGAATGTTCCTTTTCTCTCCATTCTTTTACTGTCTGAATAACTAAGGCAATTTGAATCACTGTTTAAAACAAAATAAAATCCAGCCCAACTAGCTATGTGGCATTAAGCAGACCCAAAAGTTCAGTTTCTTTTCACTGAATTTCTCCCCTTAGCTAGATATTTTAACATCATGATATAGTCAGTGTTTGGTCTTCCTTGTTTCTCGTAGGATGACTCCATCGACTCCATCAGTATATCAACTCTCTTATTTATGGAATGAAGAGAATCTCGAAAGTTCCCTACAGGGCTTAGACTAATCTCTGGGACATGTCCAGTTTTCTGTGTGTTTGCATGTTGCACACACAGTGTGAGAGAGAAAGGGATTTTGAGCAGTGGAGAAGTCTGCCATCCTTACAGACCCCCTTCCGGCCGCCGGCGGCACAGGTGATGGAGAGTGGGTTTCCCACTCTTCCTGGAAAGCTTTGTCGTTGATTTAGGGTTCAGCCCTAACTCTCTGGAAATTTGGTCCCCTCTGCCCTTCCTGAATGGGTTGATTCCTGAACCAGAGCTGATATTGGAGAAAAGCACCTCACCTTGGCCAAATTCTGCCCTAAACCTGAGCACAGCTTTCCGGTTCCCGGTGTATGGCCAAGGGAGAATGGGGCCAGGCCCCTGTCTGTTTGTTCCCTTAGAAGTCTGATAGGCTGTTTACAAGCACTCAGAAGAGCTGACTTCGCTCCTCCAACCCCAGGTGGGTCTCTGGCGAGCTCCTAGGGACCAAAAGAAGAGGGGAGAAGGAGATGAAATAGGTGAAAAAAGTGGCTGGTTCTCAAAGCACATGGTGTGTAGTTTCTCAAACGTTTTAAATTCTTAATGTGCACCTCTCTGGTTATTAGCACAACTGTAGCCAATGACACTTCTTTTTGTTTTGCCATTTGACATTATTTTACCCCTTTGCTCCTCCTTTGACTTCACACAAGGGCATTTTAATTTTAAAAGAAAAGTCCAGCCGGAACCAGTCCTACGACTTTCAGACTAGCTGTCTGGCACCCAGCTAGGCTCAACCGATGTTTGTTGAATGAATAAACGAATGAAGTGATTCTCTTGAAAAAGTTCAGAGAAATCTTTACTGTAGCAAAGTTTTTTGTTTTTTTTTTCTGAAGCCCAGGATAATCACTTAAAGTATCCTCTATGGATTTGAGAGGGCAATAGGCGAAGTTGATTTTAGAGTCTTTTAAGAAACTCTCAACCGAAAAGCTATCTGAAATGGAGTGTTCGTTTTTCTCTTGAGTGTAAGACCGTGTTTGAATAACGTGGGCAGTTCACCTCAACGACTGAAAAGCAAGGGGACCCGGATGCTCCCTCTGCAGGGCCCCCGGCCATGGACGCGGCTTGGAGCCGGACGGGCTAAGGGCGCGGGGCTCCGTCAAGGACAGCGGGACCCGGGGGGCGCGCCTGGCACTTGCGGGGCCCCTGGGGGCTCGTCCTTGCGCCTGGCCCAGACGCCGGCTTCGGGCTGGAGGGGCACAGGGCCGGCGGGTCCCCAGGGCGGGCGCGAGGCCCCGCGCAGGTGTCGGGTCTGTGCGCGGTGCGCCAGGGGTGCTGGGGGCCTGGGAGACCCGAGAGAGACGTTATTGTTACACTGTAACGAGTCTGATTAACATGCTCCTGACACTTTCTCTTAGTTTCTCCGGCTCCTAGCAACAGCGCACAAAGGCGCGGGATTGTCCCGGGCTCCGCGGGGACACGGGGCAGCCTTTGATCTGCCACCATTACAGCGGGGCTGCGCGACAGGCTCGCCGGCTCCGGGCGGCCCGCGGCGGGCGGGCGGGCGAGCGGGGCCCCGCGGTCCCGGCCCACTGGGCTCCCCGGCCCCGCCCGCCGCCCCGACGGCCGTGCGCCCCGAGGCAGCGCCGCGGCCCGGGCTCCCGCTGCGGCTCCGCGTCCGTGCGCCCCGCGCCGGGCCCGCCGACCTCAGGCCGCGGGAAGCCGGGCGGCGGGGCAGGCGGCTCGGCGCGTCCCGGCCCCGCGGTCACATGGCCCTCCGACGGGGCGCATCTCTGGGCTCGCCGGGCCCTTCCCGTCGGAAGAAGGCAGCAGTAAAACCGAGCCGGTCCCTTACTACTGAAAATAAAACAAAATTTAAAATAAAGGTAGGGCGCGAGCGACAAACAGCTCCCCGAAGGTTTTGTAAAAAATGCACAGAACAAATCCCGCAGCGCCGGCCGCGCCGCTGGCACCGGGTGCGCTGGCGCCGGACCCCGCAGCCGAAGGGCCCTCGCCACCCTCGCGCTTCCTTCCGACGCATCGCTTGCTTTCTGCCGTTGGCAATTCTTGTCGATTCGGAAGGAAATACGCTGCCAAATAATTGCTGGAAGGTAAACGAACTAACAACAACAACGACAGAAATCGCTGTCACAGAACAGCAAAAAGCTGCCGGTCCCCCGCGCAGCTTTCGGGGACTAAGTTAGGTATTTGAAAGTAACTTATTTTCCGTTTCCTTCGCTCCCTTAGTCCCCCAGCCCCGCCCGAGTTTAAAAGAAGGCGCGGAAAGAAAGACTAAGATTTTAACATTTAAATGTGGAAGTCTGCTGATGACTTTCTTCTAAGTTGCAACGTGACAACCTCGCGGGGGGAGGGTCTCTGGGCCGCGAAGACCGTGTCCCCGAGCCCGGGGCACAAGCTCTGCGGCCACACACCGGTTCGGGGACCCTCGCCGGCATTCATATGCACAGGGTCCTGATGGTAATCTATAGCCTGTTTTGTACCGTCAGTTGCCTTCCAAGTACTGGCGGTAAAAATAAAAATGAAAACCCGACGACATTTAGCTTTCCAAGATAAACGGAAACCATAAAAGCAGAATGTCCGTCAAATAAAAAAAAGCACGTATTCTTTTTTCTCTTCTTGAGACACCGTTAGAAAAATTCAACATCCCCAATGAAGGTCAGTTTCCCGAAATCCAGCAAAACTATTAGGGGCTAAGGTGTTGATGATAACAACATGTATATTTTAGAGGAGGAATAAAGACGACATGGTCTGTTCCATTTACCCAGCAAAACATGCCAGGCAACGAGTTACTTTCAAATTCAAATCGGAGGCGGTGAAGTCTTCGATCTTGAAGACACTTTCCCCCGCCGGTCCCTGGAGGAGATGAGAAGGGCAGCCAGCGGTTCAGCCCTTGGAAATCTGAAGGGAACCGCTCCCAGCTGCCCCGGAGCCTCCCAACTTGTGCTCCGGGACGGTGCCCGCCTCCACTGGAGTCCCTCGCCATTTCAATAAAACGTGATTGTATTGATATAATCCTCTATACATTAAAATGAGGTTGTCACAGATTGTCATTAAGACCTCAGTAAAACAATGAAGACATTATTGGGCACCCCCCCCCCCCCCCAGGCAAGGTATGAGGGGAATAAAACAATCTACACCACACGGGTCCTATTGAGATTAATGAAAAAATTATGCAAAAAAAAAAAATCTCGATTTCATTTTCCCGGGACACGGCTTTGCATACATGCAGTCGGTCTTGCCTTGCACCTGATGATTTATTAAACTAATCTACAGTGATCACCACGGATGTTCTCAACTCAATCTTGTCCTGGCTCATTTTCTAAGTAATTGTTTCTCATTAGTTCTGATAATGTTTTAATAGTGTTACCCATAATTTAGCCCCCAAGAATTAATAACAGGGGAGCAATATGGCAAAACGTCTTGGGATAAGCTACACAAAACATAAACAGGTATGTTTTTTAATTAATCAGATTACTGGAAGGTTCTCTTCTTATAGTCAGTGCATTCCTGGCTCGGAGGAATTCCCCATGTTGGGCATTCCCATCATGCCAAGGGGGATCAGCTCACCCAGCCCTGCCTCCTCCCTTTCTCCCTGTGAGACCTTCGCCCAACCATCACCCCAAAGAGATGCGGGTGGGGAAAACAGTGGAGATATCCCTTGTCTCCCAGCATCTCCTGGTCCTGGAGTTTCATTTTTCAAGGAATGAGGCACAACAGGTCTCTGACCATGACTGAACCCTTTTCTGGGGCCCTCGTCAGGGTGTCTGTCAGAGAGTGGCAGCGGGGTGCAGCCTTCGGGCTTGAGTGGGTGCCAGTCTCATGATCCTACCATGATTGGGACCACGAGGCTATGAGGAAGATGATAAATCTGACGCTTGGGGAGACTTCAACAAGGTGGTCTTGTTTAAACAAAGTGCAGTTTGAGATAAAGGGCATGTTGATCAGGTCAGCATGGTCTGGGACCGAGGAACCTGGGGGCCTGTTGGTGCTGGTGGCAGGGAGATCCAGCCAGGCCCAGGCTCTCAGCACCACCCAGAGCCCTTGCTGAGAGACAGCACTGCTTTCCCCGAGGTCCAAGTGCCTTCACCCTGGCATGTGAGGTCCCCTCCGAGGGAGGGCTTGGCCCTCAGTGAGCCTCTGGTTTGAGGAGGTCCACTGGTAGGGTTTGGGGGTTGCCTGTGTTAGGGGGTGGAGACTAGCACGTCTGCCCTTTCACCCTGTCAAGGCCTAGGGGGGTTATCTTGAGGGACACAGAGGATGGGATGGGCAGTCAGGTTGAAGTGGGGGCTGCCTGCAGTGAAGTATACAGGCTTTTATTTTCTTCTTTTGTTTAAGACAGGTCCAGTCTACACTTCTAACACCTGAGGTGGGATGTGTATATGACAGGTCAGAATGAGAGGAGGCCTCCTTTCACCTTCTGCCTTCTGAGCAGTCCTCCTGTCTCTGAGTTCTGAGCAGAGGGGTCCGACTGTGTGGACAGCTGTGGTCCTGGATCATCCTAGTGCACACCTGACTACCAGCCTAGGGAGGCACAACTGCCACGGTGGGGAGGAGGGGGACTGCTTCTCCTGTGACTGCCCCCACTGCCCCTGTCCGCAGTCCTGAAGCCCAGTTTGGCTGGAGGCCAGTCATTTCCCAAGTTGGCTGAGATGCCATCTTCCTCCTTCCGCCAGCCCCTCCGGGTGAGGCTGGTGCACAGAGGAGGGGAGATGCGCTGCCTAAAGCAGGCCAGAGCCCCAGCCTGGCACATCCCATCTCAGTTCAAGAGCTGTCTCCTCGGAGCCCATGTTTGGGAATATTAGTTGGTGTCCCAAGAATGTGTTCCCAGAACTGTCCTGCCTGGATCTGGTTCCTTTGGCACGCCGGTAGGAACTGGCTGACCCCCTCCCACCGTGCTCTGAGTGGGTGGTTGTTGCATGAGGACCTCGCCCATTTTGCTTTGGTTCCATGGTGGCTTTCCTTGTATTTTAGCCTTCAGCTCTACTCCCCGCTCATGCTTCCTGTAGGAACTGGAAGAGGCAGGGGAAAGTAGACTCCTGGATGAGGCACAAGGTAGAGGCCATGGAGGAAATAAACAAAAAGGGCATAGGAGGAGGTGAAAAACGAAAATAAAAAACAACTGTTTTCTATTTACAAATTTAAATAAACAGAACAGCCTTCCCTGCGGTGTTTGTCTAAGAGTAGCAGCCTTGCTGCTGTGTAGGTCATGAAAAGGTTGGTGTAGAGTTTAAAACTTCCCATTCTGTTAATTTCTTAAAGAACAGTCATCCAGAGTCTCAACACAAAAGCTCATGATTTAATGAGGAGCAGAAACAAAATCTCTGATTGTTGGTGTTTCAAATTTCATTGGCGTCCTCTGGCAAACACAAGTTGATCCTTCGCAGCTTCAATACCCTTTAGCCTTCAGTATAAGAGCACATGCTGAATAGGGGAAGAATGGCTGGTTGTTATGTTTATTTACCCTTACTACAAGCTGGGTTAACCTCTTCAACACAGCTTTACTAAGCCCGTTAACCACACCACCCATATGACCTGTAGCAGCATCTCTAATGTGATGCAAATCTCACGGGGGACCATAGGCACCAGCTCTGCCGCATTGTGTCTTCTTAGAGGCTACAAGTTTATTGCTGAGGGGGCCCTGTCCCAGCCATACATTTACAGGGGGGAAATGGCCTCAATGGCAAACATTAAACGGGGAAATAAAGGGCCAGAATGGATGGTCTTGTGTTTCTGCACATTTATTTTTTAATTGCTGGTCACTGTTGACCCAAAGTGTTCACCCAGGATGAGGGCTTTTGTAGTCATCACCTAGCAGTTCAAGGATATGGGGGTTTCATTTTGGAGGGTGGATGTTAATAGCAATCAGTTCTGAAGATTTATTTTTAGAAGATATCTTTATAAGTCAATGTGACAGAATCAGCTTTCTCTATGCCATCTCTGTTATTTTATCAGATTACTAGTGAAATAAACATGACCTCACTCATTTAGTTGTTGTTATTATTATTATTATTTTCTTTTTGGTGAAGAAGACTGGCCCTGAACTAACATCTGTTGCCAATCTTCCTTTTTTTGCTTGAGGGAGATTGTTGCTGAGTTAACATCTGTTCCAGTCTTCCTCTATTTTGTATGTGGGACGCCACCACAGCATGGCTTGATGAGTGGGGTGCAGGTCTGCACCCAGGATCCAAACCTGCGAACCCCAGGCTGCTGAAGTGGAGCAGGCAAACTTAACTACTACGCCACCAGGATGGCTCTAGTTATTATTTTTTAAAAGCCTGGCCTTTCTTAAAATAATTTATGGTGTCGACCGAACAAGTGAACAATGTGGGAGACATTTACTAATGTGAGAAGGGTGAAGGGAGTATACGTATTCAGGAAAGTTCTGTTTCATTAAAGACCTAACTTCCCCAACTACTTCATCTCCCTGTGAAATCCTAAGTCCACATCTATAACACATGGATGAACAACAAAAATCATAAGCTTGGAACCAAAAAGAAGAAAGTTCATTTTTAGAGGAATGACTGGCCGTGAGATAACGAAAAAAAAATTGTGATTAACATGAACTGTAAATGGAGAGAGCTTCCAATCTGGCATACTAACAAGTTGCCTTGAGTATTATGGTTTGTCTTTAAGAAGCCCACTGTATATGCTCAGCCCACCTGATGAGAGCTTCATTTAACAGATGATTTTTCCTTGATGGATGTGGCAAGCGTAACAATGTTCTGGGCTTGCTTCAGTAATGGCATGTCGATCATGCTCCCTTGGAAAGTAAAGGCTCCCTGGAAAACAGAGAATATAAACTTCCTGAGAGAATGCTCGGAAATTATAGGCTTCCTTTCTGCGCACACTTGTACAACAAGAACATTTTAGATTCCACCTGAATTATACTGACTTCCTACCCAACTTTTGAGAAAGCCAAAGTAAATTACAGGGGAAAGATTTCTTTTTTCCTCCTAAAGAGGGAAAAAAAAACCTTCAGCATTTTAATGGAGAGGAGAAACATCAGAGACAAGTACTGGAAACTGTTCATTTAACTCTTGAAATCAAGCAGAAAACACTGGAAGGAAAATGTAAATACTTCCTTATATGCAGTTTTTGAAATATTGCATAGAACTTTAAAAATAGTCACACACTCTGGCAACTGATTATTGTTTAAAAAAATAATTGTATGATCAAGTTTATGGCAAAATGCTTCCTTCTTGCTGTAACATAATTGAGGGGTAACATTATCATGTGAAGAGAAAATGTATGCTAGGATTGTAGTGAGTGAAAAGACACTCCTCTGTTGGCATACACTTGCAGAAGATTAGAAGGACAAGGGACGCACGTTTGCAACAAGGGAATCATAAGTCTGTTGAATGGCAAGACTAGGAAGAATCACTGAGATCTTCTGGTTTATCCCCATTTTACAGATTTCTTTTTTTTTAACCTTCTGCAAATACTTACTGAATGTGTCATGTGATCTAGGTTCTGTTCTAGATGAGGAAACTGAGGCTCAGAGTAGTGAGTTATAGTCCAAGGTTATGTGATTAGGAAAAGTTAGAGCTGAGGCTAATACTTGGGCCTCAGAACTTCAAGGCTTCATCACAGACCCCCACATTAAGGTAACAGGTACTTTATTGCATCAGAAAAAGAAAAATGAAGAGGATAGAAGGCAGCATGCCCAGAATCTGAAGTTAATGTCTGCTTATTTATGTTCTTTTAATCACTTCTTTTTGCTGTTTACAATCATCGCTCTTCATCTTAATTCTCCTTCTTTTTACCTGTTGGCAAGATGCTGGTGTGAGTGGGGAGCAGGTGGTCTTTTGAGACCTAGAGGTGAATTGGAGCAATCATAATCATAGCTGATGGTTCATTTGCATATATTGCCATCCATATCTGTATTTCACAAGTGCCACTTCTCGACAGTCAATGTTGTCATTATTCAGGTCTTCTGGGACGGAGCTCCTGGGCTCTCTGGAAATCCTTATCTCCCACAATAACGTAAGAGTTATCCATGGGATGGAGGTTAAAAAAAATTGGCAGGGAATCCTTAGCAATGACTTTGGAATTTATTTTTCAATCAAGAGATTTAAAAGCCTCTAGGATTAGAATTTTCACCAGTAATGCCTAACCTTCTCAGCCTTAGAATGATAAATCTGATTCATATGAACACCTGTGTGGCCTAAAATCCTGTACCGTAAGTTATTTTCCAACCCTCTCATTTTTACTATTTATACTCCTAGATTGGCCTTTGCCTAATTTCATTCAGCCTAGAGCTAATTTTGGTCATCTTTGTGACCATGATGAATTTTATGAATTTGGTTAGAAGTTCCAAGGATGTTCCGTGGGTTAGCATGACACGTGAAACCAGGGCGTGCGACTCATGCTGTTTTACAAGGCAATAGTCTAGTTTTCTTATTGGAGTAAATGATGAAGACCAAAGGCCTCCTGGTTATCCACCCACCAAGTGGATTATGGCCCTGTAAAACAGCACATCTGTCCTGCCAGGGCCTAAATAATAGGCTGGGGAGAGGAAATTAGCATAGATGCACATGAAATCAAAATGATGCACAGAGAATCAACATGACGGCGTTGGGTCTATGCCATGTTCCTCGAATCTGCTTTGGGTTCCACATGCACATCAAAGATGCAAAATATTTCATGTAGTTTTTTTAAGACAGGGAGATCATTTCTTTCTTCTGTGGTGGCAGATTGTGCTTGACTTCCTTTATTAAGCTTAAGCTCGAAAACGACATTCCACATTTTTGCTCTTTGCTTCCTTCATCTCTGCAAACTGAGGATTTTAGTGTTCAGAATCAGACTGCCTAATATGAATATTCTCCTGCTCTCAATATCAACCTATAAAATGGTTGGTTTTTTAGCATATGGATCAACATGTGAAATGTGAATGGTCTGTTGGTCAGGATTTGGAAAAATGCAGTTTGTCAAAAGCTACTTGGATTTGCGGAGAAGGCTGGAAACATTCCTTAATGAATGATTATAGATAAGTTTCAGTTTCACGGCCCAGTGTGTTCCTGAGAAATTGGCATGCCGTTTCAAAAAGTAAAGGGAACTTCCATCAGCTTGAAGATTCAGACTATAATTTGGTTTAAAATGCCTTTAAATGCTAACTCATTCATGGTTAAGAACCTTAACAGCCATGGCTACAACAATAATAATAGCTTTAATTTTTTGAGCGGTTGTAGCCCAGGGCCTGTGCCTGGGACCTGACATGCTTTATTCATGTGATGCTCACCTCCAACACTGTGAGGGGGATACTATTACCCATCCCCACTAGGAATTTTTTTCTTTTTCTTTTTCATCGTGGTAAAAGCACACAACATAAAAATCCCCATCTCTACCATTTTTCAGTGTACAGTTCAGTAGTGTGAGTATATTCACGTTGCTGTGCAACAGATCTCCCGGACTTTTTCATCTCGCAAAAGTGAAACTCGGTACCCATTAAACAACTGCTCCCCATCGCTCTCTCCCTGCCCCAGGTGACCACCATCCTGCTTTCTGTTTCTATGACTTTGTACCCATCCCTATTTTATAACTGAGGAAACTGAGGCACGAAGAGCTTAAGAAACTTGTACAAGTTCTCCCTGCAGCTCGTAACTATAGAATGGGATAAAATCTGGCTCTATCTGGTCCAAAACGTGTGCTCCTGCTTAGACCTTAGGCTTATTGATTGAAAAGTGTTCTCGGAGTGGGTTCCTTGCCACCCGAATCGGAATCATCTGAGGAAGAGGGCGGGGGGAGGGTGGAGCTTGTGAAAATGCCGATTCTTGGGCTTGGTCCTGTGTGGTTTGATGCAGAAGGCCTGGGGGCTGGCCAGGAATCCTCTGACGATTCTAATGCACGTTCAAGTTTGAGAAGCTCTGTATTTTTAGCTCTCCTGGGTAGAAATGGTTAGGCCGGCTTTGGCATGGGTACGACTCTATCTCTGCCCTCAAGGAGCTTACAGTTTGCTGGAGGAAACAGGGAAGAAAAGCAGCAGATGCCATAAAATGCAACAAGAATTAGAGGAAAAGTCAGTGTGATGAGCAGTGAGAGATCTGAGGGTCTGAAATGGCTGCCCTTCTAACCAACTGAGATCATCTTTCCAGCGTTCATTAGATAGAAAATTGTGCACCTAGAGCATGTCATGTGTTTCCCGCTAGAGTTGTCAGGGAGCTCCATGCACAAGGGGCTTGTGTTCAACAATTACCTATTGAGTTATTTGTTGTGATAAATCACATGTCAGTCACTTTGGCACATCTTACTTTACACATATCAATGGTTTCAGACCCCTGGAAGTGAAGGGTGATATCACCTTAGCCTAGGTGTTATCTTCATAGGAGGGAAAATAATTCCTATTGGGCTGTAGTTTTTCTAACACTTTGGTCATTGCCCCGTGGTAAGATAGGCATTGAATTAACATGAACTTTAGCAGACCCTGGAGCTCTTCATGGGGGAGAATCTGACTTACAGTTTGATGGCAAAAGTATTGATGATGATGGTGGTGATGGTGACAATAGTAAACATATCTATAGGAAATACTCATATTTTGCATTTCTGGCGCTTAGTACTTGAGAATTTTTTGCTCTAGAGTACTAAAAGAATAATTTCCTAGAAACCACAAATTGATCTAATTCTTTCCCTACTCACTTTATTTTCAAATAACTTCTTTGGGCATTCCGGGAGTTCTCTGGCACGTTCCAATGGCGGTGCTGCTCTACTGGAATTCATGATAATATTTGAGTACAGCTGATACAGTCCTGCTTTTTCACGGTGACACTCTTTTTTGCTATGATGCTAAGTCTTATGCCCAATGAATTAATTATTTACTTCACAGCAGTTCCCAGTAAATTCCTAAAACTTTCAGTCAGCGTTGGCCATTATGAAATTTCTCCTCAAGATCTTGGTTGTGCCCTCTACTTACTGAAATCTCTCAGGCCCAGCCATCACCTGTGATAGAGCTCTTCCTTACAAAGTCAACTGCTCCTTGACACTTGAAATGGGGCAAGATGATGCTCTCACAGAGATGCTGTGATGGGCACTGTTTCATTCTTCTTTCTTTCCCATTTTTCAACCTATCACACTTGGAGAGTCCTTGAACAGACCCTGGTATGGCCTTGGTCCCCTCACAGTTTGGTTATGAAGTTCTTTTTAAGGATGTAAGTTTGGTTGCTTTGGTCCCCAAGGTTCAGTGGGGAGACTCCTGGCTCCTAGGCTGCCTAGCAGAGGTCTCACTGAGAGAGCTGGGACACTTACTGGAGGGTTACACCTTCCTAATTGGGATCATGAGGTTATTTTTCTGAAACATCAGATAGGATCATCCATTTGTGTAAACCCTGTTTGGGCTCCCTTTGGACTTACAGAATCAAGTGCAATCTCCTTAGCAGGAATCCCAAGGCTCCCCAAGATCAGACCAGCCCTGCTTCTGCCCTCAGCCTTGTCTCCTGCCAGTCCACCAACACACACACACACACCTCTGCACCTCTCACATGCTCTGTTCTCTGCTCTGAAGGCCCTTTCCCTGTTTGTCTGGCAAACTGCTCCACATGCTTCAAGACATCAGAAGATGTCATGTCTGTGAAGTGTTTCTAGACTTCCCTGGTAAGGCTAATCTCTCCTCTTCATTCCCTTATACGGCCTCCTGTTAGAGCGCTTGTCACACTCTATTGCAATTACTTCTTTACACTGCTATCTTCTTACTCTGCTGTGAGGTGCTTGAGGACAGGAGCCTGTCTCCTCTCTCTCTGAATCCTTAGAACCTAGCACCCAAAACACGGTTCGGAGTGGAGTTCGGCTCTTTTGTGGGGCCTGAGCTCGGTGACTGGGGTGGGGGTGGGGGAGAATGATATGGGAAGATGGAGTCTGTCTTTGTCTCTCCTCTCCTTCATCTGCAGGCGTCTTTCTGCACACTTGATCTTTCCCTGGTCTGGTAATACTCACTGGTCAGTTGGCCAACCCCTGCTGGGCCTCCAGTAGGACACAGTGACTGACCTCAACAAATGTGATATTGGGTTGGGGTCAGGTTAACTCATGCAGATGATGTAGTTAAAGTGCAAGTCTGTCACATTCATGGTGCTTAAGGACCGAGCAGCCACAGAGAGGAGTCATCAAACAGGGGTGGTTTGGCCAGGCAAGGGCTTCAAGGAACAGGCACTTTTAAAGTCGGCTTGAGAAGGTCAGGGATGCCAAATGAAGGTCAAGAGAGGGGCGGAGGGAGGGGGTACTGGGAGCAGCACATCGGGACCTGTGAGTGGGGTGGGCTTTCTGTGTTCTGCAAGAGTCTGCCTTGCCTCTGGTCACCAAGGACTCGATAGATGAAGCAGAATGAAGGACCACAGTATGAGATGATGGGTCTTTCTATGGGTGAAGGGCTTTCTCTAGGGCCTGAGGAAAGGGAGCCTAATTTAACCTCTTTAAAGCAATCTGGAAGAGAGACATTTTAAAACATTGGTTCCGCTACTCGTTAGCTGCTTGACTTTCTTTACAACAAAGGACATAAGACTTAGTTGCGACTTGATGAAGCAGGGCTGGAACCCACGGAATCCCTCTGTTCTTGCTGCATGCCCTGGTGGACCCGAGACTTGCTCCCTCCTGGACCCCAAGGGGAGGAAGCTGAACCACCTGTTTCCTTTCCTTTACTCTGGGTAATTTTCCTCTGTCCAGAGGTGGTCAGAGATCCAACAATCTGATTTATAGGTGCAAAAACTACGGTTCAGTATTAGTTAATGTTTTTAAAGGAACTATGAGTAGGATAGGACCAGAATCTATGGCTTTTCACTCCAAATCTCAAACTCTTCCCACTAATCAGTATACCCCAAAGTACGGCTGGTAAGCATGGGACCTGAGATGATTATAGAAAAAAACTTTAAATATAAAAAAGATTTAATATATATTTATTTTATACATACTGTATATATTTTAAATTTATTTTGATGTGATTTACAAAGAATAACTAATATATCCAAACTGTTATTTCAGAGATATTCTTACTTAGGATGAGGCTGAAAAAGAAAAAGCACGTTTGCGTCCATCCTGAGTTTCCACTTGAAAGCTCGTACTATAATTACGATGATATCAGAAACACCAAAGGCTATTTTCAGTGAGAAAAAAAATTCAATAATAAAAATGTGAATGACATTTTAAGTCCTTAAAAAACCCAAAGCATTTGTAAGAAGGATTAAAGGGGGTGACATTTGATCCTTGTATATGCTTCTGAATATCAGGAACCCTTTGTATTATGGATAAACATCTTTTAAAATCGCCATTGAGAGTAAAAGAATATTACTGAAGACTTGGGAAATAGAGAGCATGTTTTTGTTTTTTAACACTTTAAATTGTAGTGATAATTCGATAGGTATTTTAATAATATTTTGAATGAAAATTCAATAGCCATTTCCTCCTATGGCCAGAGAATTTACAGATGCTACTGTAGCTCTACATGAAAGTTCTAAAAGTTCAACTCAAGCCATTCAACATGGACAATTTGTATTGGGCTAATCTGTCGTTACTATTAGCACTGAAATTCTGATGGATGACATTCTGTGGCCTTTGATGGGGAAGTCCTTTAAATGACGCATAAGATTGTAACAGTTGGATAATCCGGAGGGGTTGGTTTCGCATCTGATTGGGGAATGCTGTGACAATGCAGGCCTGCTGAACTGCTTGGGAAGGTCCCTTCGTCCCTGCCTCAGAGCATGGCCTGGGGGGGTTGGGCATAGGCGTGGGGTGTGGGAGAGCCTGCATCCCGGGCAGCCTATTGGACTTATTTTCCAAGTTCTGAACAGCAGAAAAGCCTGGAGAAGCTCCCTCCTCTTCCCTCTCATCCTTTCCGTGTAGCTCTGGCTTGGAAAGAGAGCACAAAACCATCGATGGAGAACGGAATGGAGGGCCCTGTATGCTCCCCAGTGCAGTGCCACCTGCCAGGTCAGTGCTGGCCAGAGAGGACACGGGGACCGCCTGTCCCAGTCACCCCTCTGTGACTTTCCACCAAACAGTAATAGGCACCTCTCCAGGAGGGGCACTTTCTGAAGAGGTATTCAGTGGCTTGCAGCGGAAACAAAATGTACAAAAGATACCTAGAGAGAAAGGGGTTTGTTTCTCTGGGTTGTCCCGTTTGAGGCACCTCGATGCAGAGGTTAGGAATATGGGCTTTGGGGTCGGCTCCACCTGAATTTGAATCCCAGCTCTGTCTTTTCCTAGCTGTGTGTGATCCACAGCAAATAATGTTACTTTTCCGAGCCTCAGTTTCTTCAGCTGTAAAATGGGGATGATAACACTCCCATTGTAGAGTTGTTGTGAGGATTGAATAAAATAGCATATGCAATGGCCTGTCACATAACAGTACATGGGAACTGCAACTGCTACCACCACTGCCGTTACTGTCACCACTGCTGTGACCATGTCCCATTTGAGATTGCTACCACTACCATTCCCAATGCTCTCACCACGATCACTGCGACCACTATTGCTGCTATTTCTGCTACAGCTGTTATTAGCCGGAGATTATTTAATTCCATTGATCATGGAAAAGCCCAGTGAGAAGCAGAGCATTTGAGTTATAACAGGATTTTGTGATTCCAGAGTAGCTTTAAGGGTTCTGGGAGACGTCAACCTTCTTGAAGATGCAATGAGCAGAGGCTGACTCATGCCTATTGCTTCCTGTCCCTTCTAAACTTAGAAATCCCAGATTGAATCATCCCCTTTACGAAACTAGACTCAGGGGTGCAATATATTTGACATAGCATCAGCATTTGAAAACAAATACATTTAAAAGAATCTAAAACCTTACAATATCAGCTGGAGGAGATACTGATCAAATGCAGGTCACCTGAAATTGGGAGCATTGCTTACGCTGGAGGAGGAAGTAAAACCGAAGGACAAAGTTTTCAGCAGATGGTGAGCAGGAAAAGAAGAGTTCCAGCAAAGACAAATGGCCTGATGCATTGGTAAAAAGGAGGAAATTCCTTGAAGTGTGGAAATTGAGTGGATGTAAAATGAATTGACATCATTAACATTTTGCTTTTTAAAAAGGAAGCAAGAAATCATTTAGCTCTACAGAGAAACGCTCACAGACTATACATTGGTAAGATTAATTTGGGACTTTACTAACAGCGTTAGGAAGTTGGAAGAGAAAAAAACAAGCATTAGAAGGTTTGGGAGGTGAATTTGGCAGGGAAGGTGGAGGTGACTAAACAGTCGGGAGGAGAGCTGGGGTGAATGTTTGGGTCAATTACCTTAATATGTGACCAGTCCTGAGCTGTCTGCTTGCCCAGATGGAGGGGCTCGGTGGACCAGAGCTATCCTTACTCCACAAACAGATAGGGGAGACCAAAGGGGCCTTCTGTTTTTAAAATTCTTCCCAGAGCCCACAAAATACAGGCAGCAAGATTTATCTTTAAAATTATTTAGGCAGAATGATCAGACAGGAACAAACAAGTCTTTATTTTAAATATCTTTTGATAAAGAAATTGAAAAATCAGGCCAAGTATGCTATGTGGAAAGCTATCTACTGAGATGAAACAATTCGATTTATAAGTATGTATTGTAATCTAAAGGAGTTTTCACATTTGCTAGCAAACTGGATGTTGTGCTTAATTTTCTCAGTTTTAAAAATAGCTTTATTAAGGTATAATTTGCATATCATAAAATTCACCGGTTAAGCATATAATTTGTTGATTTTTACATAGAGTAATTTTACAGCGTTCTGTAACTATCACCTCTATCTCAGATTTTTTGAAACTACAAATCTTGTTATAAAAGATTTTAAATTTTTAATAATGAGATAAATGTGTAAATATTTTTATTTAACTTACTTTATGTCAAATTTAAGCTGGTATTGGTTACGAGAAAAGCAGAGAATGAAGGCCATTTTAAAGCAGCTTGCAAAGACCAATAGTGCTAAACTTTGCCTATTTTATACACTGTAGGCTTATTCTTTCTTTGGAAAACAGATCTAAGTGAATTAATATTAATAGAAGCCACTTTAACTTTAAAAGATTTACTAAAATATAACTGATGAACAATAACTGATGAAACAAGTGGTGAAAAATTTTTCTTTCAATTTTTCTAGAAAGGAACCAAAGGTCAGTATCATATATACTGTTAAAAGTACGTCAAGTAATACCTTTTTAGCGCATCAGAAATTTGGAAGCCAGTTAGCTAAGCAGTATTTACTAAATGTCTATCGTGTACCTATTTTTGTCCAAGGTGCTGTAGGGAGGTATGCGATCGGGCAGAGAGAATTCTTACTATCCAGGGTAGTGGTGAGAAATCCCCCCCTATTTTTCCTTTGAGGTCCACTAACCTAAAATGGCAAAAATAAATAGAGAATTATAGAAACTCTTGATTTAAATTTTTTAATAAAATAAAAAATCCATTTGTCTGCTTTTAATATAGAAAAGAATTACAAAATTCTTTAATAAGAACAAAAAAATTAAAAGAATGCTCTAAACTTCTGTGTTATAATCAGCTAAAGGAGAGAAGGCAAGGGATGGTGGTGGGGTGTGGAGCTGAGGTGGTGAGAACGAGAGAGAGAGATAAAAAGAGGAAACCAAAAAGAGTTGATGGAAAGGAAAATGAGGGAGGAACAGGAAAGACATACATAGAAACACACATACAGACCGTACAGACTAAGGGAGAAATACTGTAAGAGGAAGAAAGAGAGACAGGTGTCCAAGGACTAAATCCATCCTTTCACGGCCTTTATTTGGCTCTTGCTATTGTTGACATTGAAAGCCATGGTGTGTCTGTGCAACCACAGGTGTAACTGAGCACAGGACTTTGGGAAGCTGTCCTTTGAGCGAGATGAAACCAAGCTCGGGGCTACATATGGCCTCTTTGCCAAAGGCTCCCAGTCTAGCTCTGAGAGCTTCCAGTCGACCTTGGGAGATTGAAGGAATGATGACTAATAAAACAGAATGGGGTTTGCAGCGATCAGTGCCAAGAAGCCTTTCTGGGGCAGGGCGAGTGGACAAGTGCGGGACAGAACTGAGAAGGAGGGCGCAATGTGGGATTATTAGCTGGGAAGGTTGGGAAGGTACAGGGATACTCTGTGCTCTTTCCTCATCGCTTCTGGTATGAAGGAAAAAAAAAGCGTATGACTAAGAAAAAGATACTGATCTGAACTAACCAAATTCACATTTTGTTTGTGACTGAGTACTTTGAAGGCTCTATCCAGTTTTGGTCATTAGCGTGGGGATTCATTGTGACTCAACTGAAACCACATTTATGCTAACTATGTTCATGCCTTTATTTACAAAGGGAGCCCTGAATTCTGGTCCCAGCTCTGTCACCACCTTGGCTGTGAGTGACCTCAGGCAACTTCCAAACCCTTGTTGGGTCTTGGTGTATTAAGCTGTAAACTGAAAGGATTTAACTAGAAGATTTCTGAGATTTCATCCAACTTAAAGAATTACATTTTTTAATTAAAATTGAGCAAAAAAAAAATCCTAAAAAATACGGAGCAGAATAGAATTATTTTGGATAAAATATCCTTAAGAATGTGTTATAAATTAAGGACCAAGCAAACAACTTTAAAAATTATCAGATTTAACTCACATACGAAATCTCTTATCACTTAATACTGAACCAGCCATTTGCCACTAAAACTATGTGAAATAGGATATGACTAGCACTAGAATTGTATCACCTTCGCTTTAAATGTTTGGAAATCTGCAATATATTGTTAATCAAATCAACCTTAAAGTCATCATTGGCAGACTCTCAGCTTTTCTAAGAATTTGACTTTTTAAAGTCAAAATTATGGCATATAGTTCTAAAAATATTAAATAAACAAGGAAATAAAGGGAGAAATGCAATAACCAAGAATCTCAAAAGTAGAGTTATGTCCCTTCATCTTTCATTTTCACTAGAAATCCCTCGGTTATGATTTTAGTATTCCTGCTTACAAATAAAGGGGGAGAAGGCTGTGGGTGGTGGGACACACGGGTGTGGAGGGCACATTGTTGTCTATTAGTGGAATCAACCCTTTCAGCTGACAAAGACAACAACCAAATCTTTAGATGGTTTATTTGATCTGCGTGAAAGAGTGGCAGTGGGATTTCTGGCACTTGAATAAGCGGAAACAATATTTTTGGCTAGAGAGACTTCTGAGTTCTCTCAGGGAGCCTTCTAGAAGGCCATCTGGACCAAACAGTATTTCTTTTGAAAAACCCTGCACTTGGAAACACAAATGAAAGGTGTGTGAGCTGCAATCAGATACCTATGAAAATAATTTGCTTTCAATATTGTGTGTGGGGGGAGGTATTATTCTTTGTAATTTTCTAGATGAAAAGACTTACATGAGGAAAAAACCCCTTAGTTTCTTTTTTCTTTCTTTATTAAGATATAAGTGCCTAATTTCATATTCCAGTAGAGGATTTACTTGTTGATGTAAACTTATGAATTTGAATTATTGGTCTCTCATGAGCGAAATTCAAATGTTTCAGTTATGGGTGATGTTCACAGTTGCTATGTCAGGTAGTGACCTTGTTTTTGACCTTTATAATTGTTAATTGAACCTAGATGTTAAAGATGAACACTTCCCCTTCCTTGGTTTTTAGCTGGCTTATGAAGCTGTAATAAATGAAAAATATTGAAAAGTTAAACGATCCTTCCAAAACCAAATAAACCACTTATAGCGATGATATGAATAAAATAGAGTGCTTAGAAAACGGAAAATGAAGCAAAGCCATATTTGTAGCCAGATACTGCAGAAATTTGAATATTCTAGCAAAGTACCTTTAAAAATCTATCGTGTGTTACATTTTGCTATTCTTTCACATTTTCTGTTACAGTCTCCATTTGGAAAGAAATGGTAAATTCTTATATTAAGATTTCCTGGAATTATCGATCATTTAAAAAAAAAAACCTATTTCCCTTAGCTGTCATTTTTGCCCAAGAAGTGATGAATATGGAAAGAGAAAAAAATTTAGCACTGAGTTTATAATATAGGCATGAAGAAATACACAGTATCGTATATACATGAATGTATATATATTGTATAAATATGTATCTTATATGTATTCATTTATATACAAATTATATTTCCATTGATATCAACTGATATTAACTAATTATTTGCTTGAGATGTTTTCATTTCAATTATCCAATTTTCATACTATATACAATTCATAGTTGATAAGAAAAAGAACTGTTAAAATCATATTTTTTAATAGCAATACTAAATTCAGTTCCTAATGGAGAATTTTCAAATACTGGAATCACCATTACTACGAAAAAATAAAATTAACTTTTAAGAAAATTCTCTATAAATGTAAAACAAATCACATGGAAATGATTTTTCCTGGCTAAAGTATTTTACAAAATAATTCAAAGCTGAAATAATTAATGACATGCAGGTTGTATTTCAAAAGATATTTTTCTGGAAGGATGGAAGAAAGAATCAAGTTTAATATTGGGGATATATACCTCACAATTGGTGGCAGCTAAATTAGAAATATTTTGGCTTATGGGAATTAAAATAAGAACATAGAATATGTAGAAGTTTTAAACTTTTTCCAACATATTTTAATAAGAGAAGATGACCTCAAGTTCCTATTGTCAATCTATGGCCTAATTCTTATAGTGGGGACTGTTATGCCAGGAAAATTCTTTAGCTTGTAAATATCTTTAGTTTCCTGAAACAAGTATCATTACCTGCCAAACAGTGACAGGTTATATGAGTTGTTTATTATTTCTTAATGTAAAGTATTTTTCAGCTGACATTAAACTAAGGGCATCAAACTTTATTTTAGTAGAACTTCTAATTAAAACAAAACAAAATTCCTGTGATACCAAAGATGGAACCCCAATAATTTATCTACTCATGATCTAAGTATTCCCATGAATTTCGTTATTTGGAGAGAACAGGAAGAAAAGGTAGAACTTTTATTCTTGAAAAATAATTACAATAATTACTACTATAGAAAACACAAATGACCCAGCATTAACTGTGAACTTCAGCTATTCCCTTGGTCTTAGAGCAGAATGTAATTTGAAAAAGTGGGAGCAAGAAGTAGAGAAAAGCAACGATATATAATTTTGCCTTCTTGGGCCACTTCTACTTCAAAACATTACTTGAATGAAATTTTCATCAGAGGGGAAAAAAAGACCTTTTAGAAATTTATAAGTGTCTCACCAGGACACAAACCATGAGTCTCCCATCATTGACAGAGTCACCTGTGCTTTGGACAAAGTATCCGAGGGTGTATGTTTTCATCAGTGATTCATATTTGAAATAAAACAGATTAGATGTTTGTTGGAAGCGATACTTTATACAACTGAGCAACCTATTTATACTAAATCTTTACAAACAGAACCCACATTATTGAAACCCCAAGACCCCTCAAGACCCAGAGTCACCTACCTGCAGACCCAATTTTTGTGACCAGCCAATTTATAGGCAAAGTGAAAGAAACATGCGAACTGGATAAAATAACCATATGTCCCCACTGGAAGCCCCATTACTTGAATCATTTAAACCTTGCTGGACAAAGCACCAGGAGAATTTGCTGTAGGAAACAAACCTACACGAATGGGGCAGGAAAGAAATGACCTAATGCTTAGTCTGCCTTCTGCTCTAATTTCTATGGTTCTGTGTTAAGAAAAGCTGTCCTGCCACACTGTTGTGAAAGCTTATGCCCCAATAAGAAGGCATTTCCTATTAAAAAAAAAAAAAAAAAAAACAGTTCAGAATTTAACATTTAAGTTGCCATCATCAAAAGGCAGGGACACTTTGAGATAATTTTCCCAGGGAACAATACTTTCAAGATACAATGGAAATGTGTCGTTTTTTCCTTCATTCAAGAACTTAAATGCCAGTAAAAGACTGTGTTTCTAGTTTGAATTTGTTTGCTGGCTACTGAAATTTAGGGTAACCTCTCCCATACCCCTAGCTGCTTACAATGCCAAGTGGCATCCTTTGATGTTATCCGATGCGGAACCTAGCGTCCATGTTTCATGGAGGCAGTGTTGGCCTGGACAGGAGCTCTGCTTAGTCTGCCTTGATGGTTCACATCCTGCCTCAGTTTATTATCTCAGTAGGAAGTATTTATCACATGCCTATCCTCAGGTGTCACAAGGTGTACAAAGAGGTGTAGAACATTCAGTGAGTGTGCAGAGGCAAGCATGCAGGAGAGGGGAGGGGATGGTTAGGGGTTAGTTGCACGTATGAATGAAAAAGTACATGGCTCTTCTCCCTAAGTAAATATCTATGTTTACTCATGGAGGATCTGGATTTTTGCATCAAGACATAGAAATGGACATAAAACACAATATCAACCTAAAAATATTTTTCTATGAACTGCAACATTTTTCTGATGACCACTACGGATTTGAAATGAAAGGATGCTGTTTATCCTGAAAGTGGTATAAGCCTAAATGGGATGTTTCCAATATCACATATTCTGCCTTTTGATTTTCAGCAGAAATTTGTGGAAAGATGAGCATGCATGTGTGTGAGGGTGAGCATGCATGTGTGGTATACAGCTGAAGGCAGGTATCTATGGTGAGAGAAAGGGAGTGACCCATTTAATAGTGTTACCTACTTTCCCAAGTCCTGGGCTTTTCAGGTGTTTTTCCTGCCAGGGAAAACTGCAAGCAACACTTCTCACATCGATGTCACCAGTTCACCACTGAAAACCAGTTCTTTTTTTTTTTTTTTTTTTTTTTTTGTAGGGGAAATTTAGAACCTTAATAATGTTTCAACGTTCTTTCTCCCCTAAGTACTTTTTGCATGACAGGTATCAAAACTTCACACCTTATGTAAGTAACAAGGCCGACTTCAGATATTACCTCTTGGGTAGATTTATAAATGCAACTTTTCCCCCCCATCCTCTTAAAAAGAGGCAAACGGTATTATTGCAAATAACCTTTAAGATAATTAACTGACAATGCTGCAACTAGCATAAAATCTTCCTTCAGGCGACACCTAATTTAAGTGTTACTGGCACAAAGTGGAGACAGATTGCGCATCACCACTGCAATATTTACATAGCAGAAACCCACAGAGCAGGAAACGCGAGGCTCAATGATGCACTAAATTAGGAACAACCGCACTCCAGTGTTAATTTGCTTTCCATTCTATCCAAATCTCAGGTCCAGAAATTGGTACAGACACATATACAACCTCCCACTCTTAAATGACTAAACCGGAGGAGATTTCTGTACTTTTTCTACCCCGAAATTAAAATAACTTGAAATTTATTTCTTCTCTCCACAAGAGCCATTTGATCAAACTGTGTTTATTTCATTACAACTTGTTCTCACTTTGATCTAAAATTATTTTCATATGAATGCTGCATCGGAGTCTATAGAGAAAAACTAAACAGATTTCTTCTATTTTCTCAAAGCCTGCCAATATAGTTTATGAAAAGAATAAAACGAGAGACGTGAAAGCTAGTTAGTGAAATATTTAGGAACACGGAAGGGCAAATATACTTTAAGTGAATTTCTCACTGATGACTGTTGTCCCCTCAACCCTAAACATAGTCTCCTTTCAAAAATACAGTAAGTTTTTAAAAACCACTCAATGTTTTTTTTTTTTTCATTCTACCCGACAGTATTTTAAACACCAGTTTCACCCAAGCCATTAACAAAACGTTTACCTTTCCTAATTGTTGATGTTCTTTAAAGGCAGCAATCAGTTCTTCAGCCCACTTAATTTTTTCAGGGGAAGGAGAGAACTGCTCGTGGACCACTGCAATTTGGTTAGGGTGTATCACCTGCTTACCTGCAAGAAGATTAGTAACACCGGAAACACAAAACAACAAACGGATGTTCAAACAAAATGTCTCAACCACGCGAGGCTTCCGAATGCCTCACAGACTGTATGTGAAATAACTAATTATTTTAGAACTTTTTAAAAAGAAAATAACCTCAATCGGGCAGGCTTTTCCAGAATGCCACATGAGAACAAATACGACAACGGGAGTAATTGTGTTTCTGATCCTATAGAAACGCCGCCTTAGTGCAGATAATCTCTCATGTTTAGTTACAGGTGGATTGACCAGGCAACTCCTTGAAGAACTGCCTTGGCTGGCACTTCAAAGGACAAAGCCTGCAAATGAGAGTGGGTACTTTGAGTTAAAGTAGAAAAAAATTCTATGTTAATGCTCTCAAATTTTATAAGTTGTCTTTTAATTTGTACCATTATCTCACCTGCCATGATTTCTTTTAGAAGTGGTCTGTTGGTTTTTGTAAAGCTTACAGAAGCAGACGTTACAACTATACTAATATCAATTAGTGTCTTATAATAATGTGTTTAATTTTCTTTCTTTTAGATGAATATAGGGTGCCATTTCTAACCACTAATACAAAATTGGATTTCAATGAAAAAATTTTATTCAGTACAGTAAAAGTAGAAGGCAGATTTGAACACACTGGTCTCTAGATTACTCCATTTAAAAATGTTTAAATAAAAATTACAGAAAGTTTCTCTAGGCAAAAACATAAACAGATTTTCCCTTTTTTCTTATAGACTGAAAATTGGCTATTTCCCTCTTATATAGATCCTTAGACACACCAGAATAAATCTTATCTTTATAATAATAGCTTTAAAAAAGCTTTATGCTGCTTTCTGAAGTTTAAAGATCTTAAATAAAAACATTATACAAAGATAAGAGTCAGAGAATTCTATGAGATCATGCAGTCATTTAAAAAAACCATTTACCAGTCAGGGAAGAGTGGAATCTAATCAGGTCATTAATAAAATGCAACATAATTTAATGTTATAATAATGATGAGATTCTATATTATTACATGATAAAATTATCAATATTTCGTTCTTTAAAAATGAATGTACACAATGATAATTTACTCTGCTAAATATTATTGTTGGTAAATCAATTTGCTTTGCTTTTGAAATAGTTGTTTTAACATTTAGTCAGTACAAATTATAGCCTTGATGTTTTAAAAAAGGTCAATTCCTATTACTGTCATAATTCTATCAAATAGCAAAAAGAACAATGTTTGTAAAAATATACTTTTTTTAGTATTTCATGAAAAAGAGTTTACGTGAATAAATATAGCAATATCTTTTCTTACAGTGGCATAATTAAAACACCCTCACATTGCTATTTCATTCTTCTCTGTCAGCATTCTAATAAAACGTTAAAACTCTATATAAATAAAGATGCGTTAAATTATTTGAGGAATAATTTCTGAAAACAAATAACATGAGTGATGACAAATGAGAGCTGTTTTCAATAATAGGTATTGAAATTATATTTAAGTAATCTAATAGTTGTTAGAATATTATTACTAAAGGATGTCAGTTCTGGTAGTCATTTTGTACTAATTGTTCTGAATTTTATAATTTATGTACATAATTTATACTGATATGTAAGAAGCCAGATTTCATGGGAACTTCTTGGTACAGACACTATAATTTGAGGAGCAAAACATAAACTACTTAAAATACTACGAAACTACTGATGGCTTGCAAGTACCCATATTTTGGTAATGAGGCTAATTTTAAGACGTGTTAGACTTTAGAAACTTATGAGCATCCATATGTGAAGTCATCTTTTGTTGAATATTATATATGCTAACAACCGAACATCAGACTTTAATGCTATGTGGGAGCAAAGCAAATATTTTATACAGAAGAGTTGTTATTGACAAGTTACTGAGAGGGTGCAAAATTGGAAGACATTAAAATTTATGACCATGAAATCCTTTTTACAGTACCACTTGATATATCGTGCTTTAAATCAATACCTGTCAAGTCTTTTAGGTAACTGTATGATGGTGTCATTTTTGTCTTCTACAAAAGACTGCAGAAAAGAAGAAAACCTATAGTGCTTCATATTTATAATCTTTCTTCTCAGCATGCAGTACTGGGGTAACTGTGATGACTAAGTCAGCTGTTAAAGCTTTATTCCAAGATTTATTTTTGGTTTCTTTTTATAAAAATAATTCCTAAAGCTAATAGCCATTTACACAGCCAAAGCATTTGATTTAAAATCAATTTGCATGGATTGTGCCTCCGTGAAATAATGACTGCAGAAAAGAAACTATAACCTACTGTTTGATGCATGACTAACAAAAAAAAATACAACTCATTTAAAAATATATAATTTTTAAAAGGACAGAAAATCCATATAGCACAGACTGAGTGTTCCTTATCAGTGTTATGGATAACACAATACTTTCATCAGATTTTAAACTTTTCAACCAACCACCTGCTTCAGATAGAGTGCGTATCCCTCCCTCCCTCGCTTCCTTCCTCCCCCTCCTCTCCTTCCTTTCTTCCCTTCTTGTGCAAAGCCCAAGGTATGGCAATTAGATGACAGGTAATTAGGACAAGCAGGTCATGAGTGGTCTAAAATACTCATTAAAGCATTTATTATTTTAAAATACTACAAATAATCTTATATTTTATTATCAGACTAGTTACCTTTGATTGGTATGTAGAAACATAATTTGGACAACCAAGACTCTTTCTAAAAATTGCAAAACGGTTATGAAGTTTAGCTCACCTACTTTACTGACTCCTTTCCTTGAATATCTAACAGGCACTTTACCCTCCGTGCCTCCCCATTCTCCTCCTGCTTCCATTTTTTTTGTGACTTAACACTCCCTGTTGTTGAGAAACAATAGTGCCAAGCCCATAAGCTCCTCATGCTGAGTTGGGCACAGTCTAGAAACTTAAATCTGATTTGAAATAACTTGTCTTCTGCGATTGAATTAGGGACCAATTTGATTCAGTCCTGTTCTTGGAGAAACTCGTAAACTCACTTATATGTCCTGCAGCAAACATTTACCCCAGAGGAAGCTGAGGACACCCAGGTTATACTGAATGATGGTGACAGAGGCCCATGTCAATTCACTGTTTTCAATTTTTTATTGAATTGGTGCCCATTTCAGAGCAACATCTGGCTGCTTGGCAGTGAACGCCACACATTTTAAACCAACAACATCAGGCTCCATTAGATAGATTTCATGGAGTTTTTCTCCAACTTTTCCATTTAGGCCATGTCCTAACTGGTCTTTGGAAAGACGCAGGTTTGACAGGCCACAGAGACAAGGACAACCCCAGGGATGGGGTATCGGACTCTTTCTCAGTCACTATTAAATATTTATCAATAGATCAGATGATTAAAAAATATTTCTCTATAAGAGATCACATTTATTTATTAAACAAATGTGGATCACATTTTAACTTTGTTAAAAACACAAAATCAAATGTAGAGCTTTAATTAATTCTAATGTAACACATAAAATTGTTTCTTAAGTCTTTTCATTTTATTTTGAGTTAAACCACCATCCATTCAGGTATCTTTTACATTTAAGGTCACTTTATGAAATGTTTCTTTCAGTAAACCCTAACCAGACACATTTCAAAAATATTTACAAAAGGGAGAGCATGGATGCTTGTCTCTTTCCCTTATTATGTGGGTACATTTCTGAAATGATAGTCTTAGAACTTGCAGCGGAAGAGCAAATAAGAACAAAAGAGCTTATGGTGTTTTTTATCCACAGTTGTGTGCGTGTGTGTTTGTGTGTAGAATCCTATTGTGGTTATTCAAAAAATAGAGTTCTGTTGCAAAAACACAATTTTCGGTTGCTCCCCAGACTCCTGGAGATCTGAGAGATCAGGCACCCCAATCAATAGACCTCCGCCTGCACTCCAGGACCAGGCTGCGAGGGACCCGCTGACCTTAGTGCCAGCCAATGCCCGTAGGTGTCTCCAGGTACAGGGGAGAGAAAGGAGGGTTGTGGTAGCAGTGGCAGAAAAATAGAAAACTAACTATGAGTTAAAAAAAAAAATCAAAATAGCACCAAAATTTTTCTTCAGAAATGAATTAATATTTTGAACATTTGAGGAAATTTTTCTTCTGTCCAGTAACCCAAATTCTTATGGTAATTCACTCAAACACATTTCTGTAATAGCCTCATCTCTCACCTTAGGTCAGCAAAAACGGCGATAAAACACTTAAGAGGGCAGGGAAAAAAAAGGTAACTCATATAAAGAGAAAATAAAATGAATCATTTGGTTTTTGACTTGCAGAGCCAAAGAGAAACATGACAATTTGTCTGGCAAGTTCTTGCCCTGGATGGTTTTTTCACGTTTCAAATAGTGAAATACATGTATGAGACACCTGGGTACATGAGAAACACTAATTTCTGGTTAAATTGCTATTTTTTGGAATGTTTGCTAATCCAGACATTGCTTTCTAAGGTACTATCAAGAATCATACCAGTAAATCCCATTGCAGCTCCTTCTTTCGACTGCCTGAGAAGCCCCTCTGCATCTCGAAAGTCAATGTACACCAGATCGATGGCTTGCAGGCCAAAGGCCTTTGCTATGACAATAATCTTTTGTCGGGCATAGAGAATATCTTGGGTTTCTTTACTACTTGTTGCACCTGAAAATGGGACGTTGACAGAAAAAGCAGATGTTAACTTTGCAAACCGAACCCAGACATCTATTATAAAAACTCAGTTTGTAAAGACATCTATGACCTTCTGGGAATTGCTCCCTAGCAAAATGATGACTCAAATCTAAAGGAAGAGAGGGATACGTGGAGGCAGAGTGGAATCTCATCTGTGTCTGTTTATCTTGCAAAGCATCTCCCAGTATGATTACTTGTGAGTGCACTAAGACGAGGCCCCTCCCCCATCTCAGGAGAGAGAATCTCAAATGACTTGGTAGGTCACAAAGGACTCCTGGTATGTTTCTTCCTTCTTGGGATCGCTCAGAAAGTGTCAGTCCAAAGACAGCATCACAAAAGGTGGCCAAGCAGCTGTGTGAGGAAATGGTTAACTTCCCTCACTGAGCACAGGATTTTGTCGTGTGTTGTGGTTGCAGTGCCCTGTCATAACTGAGGTTCTGGGCCGAATACTTCTGCTTCAGGGTTTGGATGGAGAACTTGGGGAAATGGAAGGCACTCATTCTGAGAGAGGCTGAAAGTGTCCAGTGAACTATTGGATACACAAAAGTCTCCTGGAAAGACTAGTATTAAAATAAGTTCCCTTCTGTCACCCGGGTTGGGGGGAGGGAGGGAATGTCACTGTTTATATTCGGGCCATGACACTGCTCAGGGAAAGCTCCTGTCGTCAGGTCCTTGGGACTGTGGTTCTGAAAATGCTTCGTGGCCTTGGCCTCTAGTCTAGATGCACTCACAGCCTCTAGTTATACACGTACCCAGACCAGAGGCACAGTGCCCAAGGGACGGGGAAGATCAGTGGAAGCGAGCATACTATCTCAATAAATATTTAATAAGAAGAAGAGTTCTGAAATATGTTTGAGGAGGAATTCAAGATCTATTAAATAATATTTACATACTCCATTTAAGGTAGAAAACGATTCATTACAGCAAATGTGAAATTGCCTTAAATTTGTGTTAGAACCCTAGACAGCCCTCAGACTGATGTGAAAACAAAGTATTTAAGCAACGGAGAGGTTGTTCACACAAAGTACTTACTATGAACAAAGCAGATGTCATATATTCTTGAGGCTGCAACAGGCTTTTTATGAGTTATTTTATAAATAAACAGAACTAATAAGGGAATGCTCTGGAAGAAGGACAGCTATGAGGTGCCCTAAATTATCAGGACGTGTTGCCATTCAGCAGAAAAACCATTTTCATGGTTGGCAAATATATATTGCCATGTAAATGTCCATTCGTGAAGGGGCAAAGAAAAAATATACACACATATATACAGAGAGGATGAGAGACAGAGAGAAATATGTTTGACACCTATGCTGGCTCGAAAGTCTTCTCCTCCAAAAACAACTGCGTCTAGAAAAAGACCCACTTGAGGTCCCGTCTTTAGCGCTTCTTCACACACTGCCTGGAAGAGAGCAGAACAGAAGCGAAACTCACAGAGATGCTTGATTTCGAGAGAAGCAGCACGGTGCATTTTGGTAACCGAAAGATGCAACTCTTAACACAGTTTGGCTGAAAGCAGTCCTAAATAGCCCAAATTCACTCCTTTCCAAAAGTATTTAATATTATCCAAGATAAGTATGTTGTATATATTTTCTTTGCTTAATGGATTATATTATTACAGTTATTAATACAGTTATAATGTTCAAATTGTAGTTCATCTAATTTCTAGAGAAATTTTGAGTTAACTCATTTTGATTATGTTATTTCTATTTTTCCAAAATTTGTTTTTGCTTTAAGAGACTCTCAAACAATACACATAAAACCACAGGAGAAAAGGAAAGAATTTTTAAATCAAACTAATTGGATTATTTGCATTAGGATCAAGATTTCTTAGTAAATGGTCTCAGGATTAAACACAGACAATACAAAAATCTACAACTCTAGAGGGGAAAATAAAAATGCAACAAGTTGTCCCAGATGTATTAATAAGCAACTTCGACGTTTCTGTGTGAAAATAAAGATGGATAACGTTTGCTGTAGACAGAATGTGAATCCACACATGTGGAGATGCAGCATGCTAATATATGTGGGTGGGAAGACAGGAGACACCAGGAGAACCCTGTTGATTAATTTCAGGGGTTGGAAGTGCTTCAAAGTACATTATGGAATAAAATGGCAAAACAGTGCTTAAAATTGAATCATTGTATGAATCAAGCTGCATCTAAGGGATATGCTTTGATTACATTCTCAGAATTTAGGGTGGGCTGGAAGAATGTGTGGTTAGTGGTGTAAACACGCTGATCATGAGGCTTGAAGCAGCTCCCCAAACATTTGCACTCTGCCCCTCCTGCATGGTCCAGTAGGTCTCAAAGTTTCCTCTCGGAGCGTCTGCTCACACATTCTCTCTCCTGTACAGTTCAACTATCTTTTCTCTTTGTTTTTAGGGATTTCTTCTCTCCTGCCTTCTGAGATGGGGAGCTACATTGATGTTCACAAGTCAAGTGGAATGCGAGGGATATTTTGGAAAACAATTGAAATGCTCACTGATAAAGGAGAAAAACAAGCTAGCTGTGAGTTTGTTAAGGCACATTGTCTAATGCAACCGTACAATGCTGGGAAACACTTGGCTCAGCCAATCTTCCTTAATGTGTATTAGGAAATATTTTATATTCTAATGTGGCAAATTGAAATAATTTACTACAAATTATTGGTGTATAATAACGTATGAATAGCAATCTTATGTACTAGACATTATGGACAACGTTGCTACAGAGAGGCCAGAAAATTTCCCAATAAAAGGCAGTTGTTACAAAAGAATAATTGAAAGTTAATTCATAAAGGTGACAAAATAAATTTTCATGTACATTTAATCTATAAATGTAATAATTCAAAGCACATATTTACATAATTATTATTTAATTAAAATGATTGCTAGGAATATATAAATATTTCATTTAAATGTTTAGGACCAGGAAGTCTTTCCTTACTACTTAGCAATTTCTTTGTTTTCTATGCTCACAACTTAGTTTTGGATTATTACAGACAACAAATGGTGCTCAAGGTTTACTCTGCCTAGAAATCTTCCTAGAAAAATATTTTAAGTAGATGTTAAAATTGAAAACAAAAGTTCTCTTTAGGTAATAAAGAAAATACTAACTTATTAGCCACATTATGATTTTCTTACCTTAAAATTGAGCAAACCCATTGCAGTTTCCACAAAAGGGATTAAATTCATTGGTTGTTCAAGTTTTCGCCCTTTTAAGTAGAATGAAAATTTGTCTGAAAACTAAAAATCAAAAGTGTCATAGGTGATTAGTGGGGGAAAAAAATGTACAATCAGTGAAATGTAGACAAAGAAGTGGTATTTTAGTCTTTGACCTGAGGAAGTCATACCCCAGCCTCTTTGGTCCACACAAAAGAATTTTTAAAGACCCCCAAAACAAAAAACAAACAGGAGGAAAGACCGAAGAAAAGAAGGTAACATAGTTCCCACTAAGCTAAACAGTAAAACCTCAAGCATTATAATTTTTTTTCCTAAAGGGGCAATTTGAGGGCTAGGAGTTAGAAGTGGAAGGAGAGATTCTGGAGTTTAAATGCTTTCCTTGAAAACATATTTACTTAAGACCTCTTGCCCCCACTTTTAAATGCAAGTGGTAGGCCCCGCAAACAGTGAAGGCTGCTCGCCTTGCCATTCTGTTTTTGTTTCAGACCCAGCACTGACATCAGTGTAATGTGCAGCCGCCTCTACGTGGAATCCATATTATTCATTATAGCGCCATTATCCTTTGTTCAGAAGGCTTTTCTTCATAATTTTTTAGCTTACCTAGGAAGACCTTAAAAAGGAAGTTTAATTCTTTGAAGACCAAAGCTCGCCAATTTTTTCCATGAGACCAGTTCACAGCTAGCTCTGTGCTGCCAGTGGGGTAGCCCAAATTCCAAAATCTACCATCTGGAAACATACAAAAGCTGTTGCACGGATCTCCCCCCCTTCAAAAGGAAAAAACCCACCACACTCTAAATTGTAAATCTATTATGTCTATCTAGATCTAATAAGATGTGGGGAGATAAAAAAAAAGCACACAGGTATGATAAAGATATTTTTGTAAATAAAGATGAAAACATATATATCCATTTTAAATTTAAGGAATATTCGGCCATTAATAGATATCAAAGGAAAAGGGAATTTTAATCATCTCTCCATTCAGTCTCAGTTGGGTAAATCATATCTAAGAGATTTGCATAAATATAAACCATCAAAGACTTTTCATCTTCAAAGGGGGTTTCAAGACCCTATAAGCTTTGTACTGTAATCATCGCAGGTCACCACCCTGCAGGAATAGGGCTGCTATGGCAACATAAAAAAACTAATGCTTAAGGCTTAGCATAATATTCTGACTAATAGAAAGGAAACTCATTTTAAAAGCTGGCAGCCTATTTACCAGAAGCAGGATTAGAGGTGTTATTTCCCCTTTTAGCTGCCCCCTTCTTGCCGGTGTACTCCCCCCGCCCCAAAATCTAATCACTGGGATCTTTAAAAAGCTTTTGAGCAATTTGCAGTAACTTTACAATTAGGCTAAAATAAATCACAGCTTTCAGTAATGAAGAATTATTCCCAGTTGCTCCCACTGCCCCCTCCCCTGCTCCGACACCATCATCATCACCTCCTTAGTAACTTCGCAAGGGAAGGAATAACTCAACCAAAATAGCAAGAAGGAAGAGAAGGCTACAATTTAAGGGGACCAAATATAGAGTATTCCATGTAAATGAAAATAAGACATAATTTATGTCGTATTTAAGCTAGAAAATGGGTAGTGAAATATTAGTGGTTTTGGGTGTTACTTATGCAGTAGAGGAAATTTTTTTCTCATTAAAAAAACTTGCAACATTACTTGCCCCATTCTTTGTGATAACAGTTATAACTACAAAAATCATAAAGTTTAAAACTGGGTAAACGCTTGACAATATATTTCCTGATCTTAGTGAGAAAAATCTCTGATGTCTTTTGTTCTTAAGCCAACAGGGACATTTAAAAATTAAATATTCTAGCCCATCCTCCTCCTCCTCCTCCCCTTCTTTCTTAAAAAATTGCATTAAGTACTAACACAAAAGGTAACTAGTGGAGAAGTTTCAATTAATTTTTTCAAAAGGAGACGATTAAATGTTTCCGGCCTGGTAAAGTGTTCATTTCAGCGAGGTGGAGAGGAGTGGGAGGGGAGGAAAAGAAGGGGAAAAAAATCACAAAGAGATTGGGGAGGAGACGAAGTAGCAGGGCTCAGCAATTCTTTCAATTCCAGTGCACACCCAATAGTGTGTTGGAAGAATGCACACTGTTCGGGATTTGTGGGAGAATTGTCCCGCGACAAAGGAGGCAGAGTCACGCTTGTTATAGTCCAATAAGCCGTGCCAGTCAAACAAGAACCCACACTAGTGACAAAAGGCCAGCAAGAGATTCTCACACAAAAGAAAACAAGGAAGCCCATCTTTCAGTTGTGCATCAGGCTCTGGGTTTTCTGCTTCACATAAATACAAACGGGGAGGAAAAAATAAACAGCCCCAAAGACTTCTGTTAACTAGAAATCCTATTTAGATTTCCGTAAGTTCCTCACATCCCGGGATTTAAAACAGCGAACAGAAGCCATAGCTGAAGGCTGGGGTGGGTCCTCCCCTCCCAAATGAAGGGTAATAATGGTGATAAATAGGTATTAACTATGAAACCAAAGGGGAATGGTACTTCAGATTCCCTTTCAATCAATTTCAGACACATTCGAACTGGGTAGGAGCCCTCGAAGATATTAACCAGTATCTCCCAGCTTCTGAGGGGTGACCTTGCAGAGAACTCCAGTGTAGTAAGTAAATGGGTCCTTGACCACGGGTCTTCAAGAAGACTCTGACATGGAGCTGTCCAAGAGAAATATGATGGCAGCTACATGTGTTAACTCTAAATTTTCTGGTAGCTACATTAAAAGAGTAAAATGAAACAGGTGAATTTAATTTTAATAATATGTATATTCAACCCAATATATCTGAAATATTATGATTTCAACATATAATCAATATAAAAATTATTGAGATAATTTCCTTTTTTTTTTGTGGGGCGGGGGCTACCAAGTCTTGAAAATCCGGTACGTGTTTATGCTTCCAGCACATCTCAATTTAGACTTGCCACATTTTGAGTGGTCAGTAGCCACACGTAGCAGGTGGCCACTGCATTGGAAAGCGCAGAGCCAACATATCTCCATGCATTCAAGGTGAGCGGTTTCCTCAGGTGGTACCACTGCTCTGCGTATTGCTATAGTTGCAGCCTTACAGATAATCCCAGATGTGGCATCGAAATCACCAATGCCCACACGCCCTTACCACGCTTCCAGCGCTTACATGTCATGGGCTCTCTGCCCTGGAGTGGCACGAGGGAATGTGATTTTATTCAGGCGAGATCTGCAGGATCATAGCAACCCCTAAATAAAACAGCCTCCTCCCCAACCCTTAAACAATTAAAACAATCATAGTCTAATTAGGCCCATTTCAAAGTTTTCTTAAGTAATTTGACATGCCAACCACTTTACATTTCAGGTTTTTATTGGCTGAAAAGTCTGTCATAAAACACAAACACACCTGTCAGCAATTTAAAAAGGACGAACTAGAGAACCGCTCAGGAAATAATATCTGTGCTAATTAAAACCACTAGTTAAAAGCTTCCTGTTTATTCCTCTAGTTGCCCTAAGGAGTGACCTTTTCCTCTCCTTCTCTAGGTTCATTTTTTCATTTGAGGCTAATGTGCTTTTGCTGTCTATGATGATTTCAAACGAATCTGGGTGAGAGCCATTTACGTCACTGCTCTTCCAGATGGAGGCCCCGGGTGAGGGCCTGGCAGGGTGTGAGAAGCCATCAGACTCTCAGGCAAGCTAGTTCCAAGGATTGCTCTGTGAGCTCTTGACGGGGCTGTTCTGTCCAAAGCACACATCTGATAGGGAGCAGAAGCATCATTGCAAGAGCAGAGATGTTCCACAGAACACTTTGGGCAAAGATAGGCCCTCCCGTGTGGAGGATTTGGTCTCTCGGGCTCACTCATCTTTCTGAATTCCTTTTCTGCTCTGTGTATGCATTTTCAAAACCGGCAGTACCCAAATCCTTCCTTTCGGCTACTCCTCCTTAGCCAGCGCTGAATCTTTAATTAAAGTAAAGCATCGGCTACTCACCCACCGGATTTCTTCAGGACCTTCCACCTTTGGTAGCATCAGGCTGGAAGGAAGGACCCGGGATTGCAGGAGGGTCTGTAGGTCTTCTTCAGCGAAACCACTGGACGCTGAGTTGACTCTCACACACTTTTCAGTTGGGCCCAGATCAAAGTCTTCAAGAGTTTTTACTATTCTTAATCGAGCTTCATTCTGTAAGAGTTGATAAAATGTATCTCTTAAGTTTCTTTATCATTGAGAGGAAACACGATCGAACCTCTGAAACTGTTATGTGGATTCAGAGTTGGAGCACCATTATTATATCTGCACATTTCCTGTCCACCAAATAAGTGGTATTTGAAATAAGTCATACAATCTGATAGGCAATCAATTGATTTCCAGACTTCATTCAAGATGACTACAGCAGACATGAGAGCACAGTAATGCATTCTGGTAGGCTTCTAAATAGTATGTCTTGCTTGTTAGCATTACTTTCCAATTGGAAAGGTAAAATAATTAATAGGTAACATTTATTGAGCATTTACTAAGCGCTGGGCATGGTTCTAAGTCCTCTACTTGCATTTTCTCGTTTAATGAATAGAAGAAACTAGATAACATATGCATAATGGTAGTCTCATTTGTCAGCATGTTCACATTAGGGAAAAAATACAGATTTCTTTTTCTCTTTCCACAAGCTTCATGCTTTTTTACTCACTTAAAGAAAATCTTTTTTTTTGCAACTAAGTTGAATCTTGACATTCAATTAAGAAGGTGCTCACAGGAAAATGACACTCCACACTACAAAAAAGCTCCAGATTCTTCAGATGGCAGGCAATAATATCACCAAGAAATCCCTTCATGAAGTGGTAGACAAATACATTTTTTTCTTTGATTTGACAGTCTTTTCTCCAGTTAAAAAAAGCTGAAAGGTTGAAAGTCCGCTTCAGTATTTGAATTCTCCCCAGAAAAATTGTATGAAACCAAACATGTTATTTATTGGCTTTGAGTTGGGGAGATGAAGGTGGGGAAGGGGATGGGAGAGAAAGGAGAGCAGTGGGGTGGGGGGGGCGGTGGAGTGAAGAGAAATAAAGCACTGAGGGTCATTACTTCCTGCCAATTTCAGTTTCAAAAACAAATTCCTCCAACTTGCCAACAGCCCTCAACAAATTCTCATTGTCAGAATGAACACTTATCAAAAGTAGTTTCATTTGGGAAGGGTTTTTATGATACTAATAAAACTTTAAAGCTTCTCACAGTTGATGAATGTGGTTTAAAAAAAAAGTCTTCACAATATACAGCCATTTGAACAGCAATACTTATCCAGGAAAACAGCAAACCAAAACGGAGACAAAAAAGAATTATTTGAGCCAATATTGAGTCTAAGTCTAATCCACAAGACAAGACGGGACAGTAGATTTAAAGCAGACGGATGTAGGTCTATGACCCAGTGGAAGCGGGGAAGGCTTCCAACCCGAGGCTGAGTTAAACCGTGTGAGGAAACAGTAGCTTAGAGTTGTCAAGTCAGATGGAAACTGAGAACATAGGACCAGTTCAAGACAGCTCTGTGGAGTCCTGATTTACACAGCTTCGACTGCCAATAATTAAGCCAAGCTTAGACAAAAGCAAGAGAGAGCTCACCCTAGCTAAAGTGAGGGATGACGCAGCCAACAGTGGCTTGGTTCCACACCATGCTGTTGGCCATTCCACTGCTATAAAACTCAGCCACTTGTTTTACTGTGCCCTCTTGTGACATCTACCAAATATGAAAATCCTGAAGGTGAAGAGCAGAAGTTAGCTCAATATCATGGCTCTAAGGCCGTCTAAAGCTGTCGAAAGAAATGCTTCCAGCTTTCTGGCAATGTGTGTATTTAGATCAATGGCCTCAGAGAACCTAAAATGCGTTATGCTCCATGTAACCCGCACAGCTACAAACTCGGGACTGCTCCAGCCTGTAAAGATTTCAACTTCCAGGGTTTCTTTCAACAGCGGGTCGGCCTTGCAAAGGGTCTATTGGGGCAGAGTGAATGGAAAATGGAAAGGAATTAACTAGATCATTTAGGCTGAAATGCATTTTTAAAACTTGAGTTATTTGAATCATCATCTCCATTCTCTACTTTAATCTGCATGTGTGCTCAAGGACCAGAATCCCTGGCAGCAACTTCCTAAATTGTTAATGTTGGTGTCAAACAAAATCTGACCTCTAAGCTGTTTTGTTGTTTCACTTGTATTTGAAGGGGACTATTTGTTCAAAGCTCGTGTTCTAAACCTGTTTGTGATTTTTATCTAAAGTCAGATTGCCATGGTTTCAGCACATTCCGGTTTACTTAGTAAAATTCAGCTCTTGTGAAATTGGCTGCAAATGAGGTACCTAATTCCAATTTTAGGCATAATCTGATTAGTACTTTTCATGTTATAATAATGAGCAGTGAATACTCAGCATTTTATTAGACTTTTTTTTTCCTCTTTTTGGCTCAGAATTAGAACCAAGCTCTTTCCACTTCATCACTCTGTACCTTTCCAAAAAAAGATGATGGTTTTGGAGGTATATTGCCACACAAAACCCTTATTAACAGGCTGTTGCTTGTTGCAATTTACATAAACTAAGTGTGCATCCCTCTGCTATGTATCCCCAAATATCCAACAACTTCACTGAATTTACACCAACCAACAAGCATGTTGAGTTTTTTTTTCTTTTTGGTATTTTAATGGTGAAATATGTTACTGTGCTAGCAAACACACCCATGCCATCTGCTGGGTGAGAGGAAGGCAGTTTCTAAGAACAATTAAGTCTAGTTCTGGGTGTTCAGTTAGGGAGACCCACAGTCCACCCAGTTGTGAAAAGGAAGGAATTCTGTTCATTCCGTTCTCTCTCTCTCTCTTTCCCTCCCTCCTTCACTCTCTCTTACACATATGTTACTTCTTGCTACCATCTCTCTCATCTCATCACCTCCCTCCCTTTCACACTCTCCTTCTCTTTTTCTCTGGCTCCTTTTTGGCTGACCATCCTTCCAATTTCCATCTCGTTAGGGCGATTAGTAAGCAAAGTCTGGCAGACTCCATCTTCTCAGAAGGGCTATCTGGGTGATCTGTTGAGGTTATTGGGAGGTAAATGCTCCCTGGGGCAAGAAGGAAAAGGAAATGAAAGCAAAAAGAGGCGATTCACAAAAGACATTTTTTTGGGGGGGGGTCGCGGAGGGGGCGTCTAACATTCTGTAGCAAAACAGGTTGTTCAAAATGAGGTTTAGAAGGAACTGCATTCTAAATGTGTTAACACTACAGGGTGACCTTGGGGAGCACATCTCAGTGTGGGATGAACTTGTCCCCCTAAGATCTGACAACCTGGAAAAGATGGAATAATGGAATTAAGGCCTTTATCAAAAGTTACATTAGATCTTTGCAAAGACTAATTACGAGAGTGTGTTCTGCAGCACACTTGATTCCAGAGGTGGGCTCTGCAGAGGGCACAAAGAGAGTTGGCACAGATCAGAATCTTTACAGGCCTCTGTTCTAAAACGTGATGTTACCAAAGTTCCCACATTCAATCGATATTTCGTGCCATGGGCTGTTCAGTGCAGTGGACCAGTGGCTAATAAACTTGTCCTTATACATAAGCCACCGTATTATGTGACTCTGTCTGGGCCAGGAACCAAGGCGTGCTATGATTTCAGAGACCGGGTTCTTATCACCTGGGGAAGAGACACGCTCTGGTGACGTAAGAAAGAGGATAAATCAACCATCACCAAGACCTGCAGACTTCGAAATTAAAGGAGAAAATATGCGTGCAGTTGGTTCAATTGGCACCCATTAAAGCTAATAACTAATCATCCTCACAAGTTTCTAGCTCAGAATGATCAAATCTGCAAAGAAAACAACATCCGTCCACTTTTACACTCCAGTGGAAGAGGTGGTCCCTCGCGGCAGGGTGGCACAGTCTCGCCATCTGGAGAATAAATCGAGTGTGAAGTACAGTATAGTTTGGGACCAAGCTCCGTGGCGGCAGCCCAGCAGTCAGTTCATTAGTTCCAAACTTCCAGGGATTAGAGCAGCATCAATTCTACTGTCGGATAGGAAGAGACAGACAGGATACGAGATTCAAGGAGGATTGTGACAACCAGGAGGAGCCCCTTGGGCTTATTTATAAAACTACAAAGTATAAACATACCCAAATAAGTGCCTTAAACAATAGCATTATCACAGTTTCATAACATCTGAATTAACACCTTTCCCTTCTTCCACCCTGCCACTGAAAGCTTGTATGTTAATGTATAGTCCTTTTCAGAGGAAATCACAAAGACGACCCTGGATGCAACAGGAGCAATGAGAAAGCTATGCAGCCGAACCAAGATTTGGTAATTAAGAAATACGAAAGACTTTCTGGACTCCGGGGAGATGCATAACATTTGTGCTTTTTAAAAATGTACAATTAATATTTTCATCCTACAAAAGGCAAATTGGCATGCCACATACTCAAAAACACTAGCGACTTCTATCTTTTCTGAATTTGTCCATCTCATCTCGTTTCCATTTTATCTTATTCATAAAATGATGTCACAGGCATGGAGTGGAACAAATTTTGAGCAGAAAGCCTCGCTATCAGCATCTATATGAAAAAATGTTTGAAAATATTGAGATCGTTTGGTTTAAAATAAAAGATTCTGAGTGTTCCATTTAAGAATCTCCTTTTGCATAGAGTAACTTCTTTTTATGCATTTATATTAAAAAACAGAAATGCTTGTGACATAAAACAGGTCATCACTAGTAAATTATATTATAGTATAGTTCTTACAAATGTATAAAAAATTATTATAATCACAGAGACTTGCATTGTGACTGCAGTGACTGCATTGGGGAAAAGGGCAAATAAATCCTCCTTGATTATTACAGACTAGCAATGTTTCTTTAGGCAAGGTGATAGTGTTGAGTTTTCTATCCCATTGTTTTTTCTGCATGAAAAAGAAATTTTGGTTTGCTTGTTTTTGAAAAAAAGAAAATCTACAATATTGAACATACCATGAGGTAACTGGTGTAAAATTTCATTCATTGATAACAAAGGCACAGGTAACAAAAGAAAAAGTAGAAAAATTGGACTTCATGAAAATTTAAAAATTTTGTACATCAAAAGACACTATCAAGAGAGTAAAATGGCAACCCACAGAAGAGGAGAAAATACTTGCAGGTCATATATCTGATAAAGGATTAATATCCAGAATCTA